GCTGAGGGCTGTGTGCGGCGCGCGATGGTCACCGCCCGGGTGACCCGGGGCTGCGTGGGGAAGCAAGGATGCTTCGTAGGCATTCAACAAGTACATCCAGGAGAGAGGGCGGTGGGGTCAGATCTGGGTGCGAAGGAGGGAGAGGGAGAGCGACGCTGCACCTCGCAGATGGCCAGAGGCCTAGGGGACGGCCGCACAACTTGGGGACGCTTCTTGCTATTTGCAGAAGGCCCCTTGAGTGAGCCCCAGTGTCGAGTAGATGGTGCCCTCGCCCATCTTTAAAAACGTGTTGTGACTGTGGACAGGGCTTGGGGACAACTGCTTCCCAGAGGTGCTGCTGTCCTGAAGGAGCGTCTGTAGCAGATGGTTTGATAAAGCTCCTGCTCCCTGGGGCGAGAGGGAGATGCGCAGGCACAGCCAGAAAGCTGCTCGGGAATCTGCCCGGTCCCATCTCTTGGATTTCATTGTCTTGGCTTAAATTAATTGCCTATTTCTCTCTGTAAAAGAAAGGACTGAGAGGGGCTAGCTCTCTTTCAGAGATTGGCTCCTGGCCAGCACACTCTCACTGAGGCTTTGGGAGGTGGGGTCTGGGCACCAGGGCTGGCCATTGGATGCCCAGCCTGCAGAGCATTTATGAAACTGCGCAGTCTAGAACTCTTTTTTTCTATTGATTGGCTTGTATCGCAATTAGCTCCATACTCTTTGCTACTGCAAAGCAAATTCCTAAGTAATTACCCCAAGGCCACAGTGGGGCTCAGTCAGGGTCCCCTGAGTGCCCCCAGGTTCCTACGGGCATCTCCCTGGCCCTCACCACACTGCTCAGATGCTCAGGTGCAGGAGTAGAACCATGTCAGTGCCTGGCATCTCCCTGCCCACCAGGACTTGATGTCTGACGAGCAAAGGAATGGAGACCCATCTGAATCCAGTCGGCCTGTGTGCAAAACCAGTTATCGGAGTGCATGGTAGTTTCCCAAGTATTTAGAGACGGGTTTAAATCAAGCTGTCTAAAATGTCACTAGAAACAAACTCATTTTTGTGCAAGTGCTAAGCAGAGAGCTCAGCCTGCTGGCCTCTCATGGGGGACTCCAGCATTTCCATGAAGGAAATCAATTGCCTTCATCCCAGAATAGGGGTGGGAGTTATTATTGGATACCCTGGGGGGCTAAGGTGTTTGCTGAGGGGCGGCGAGTCCATTGCAGCTTATGTAGTCAGGCCCTGAGTTATAACCCAGCCTCCCTCTGCATCCACACCTTTGCCCTCTAATGGACGCTGCTCCCTGGGATAAGGGTGGCCATTCACAGAGCCCCACTAGCCAGCCTCAGATGGCACCGTTCTCACTGCATTAGTTGATGCCTCCCTCCCTCCCCAGGAAGAGCTGGCCGTGCCCCCCTCCCACCCATGTCCGTCAGTGTGAGGTGCAGCTTTATTGGAGAAGGGAGGTGGGCATTTGGGGACTGCTTTCTGTTCACTGGAGGAGCCCTAGTGACCTAGTGGGTTACACGTTGGGCTGCTAACTGCAAGGTCAACAGTTCAAGACCACCAGCCACTCCAAGGGAGAAAGATGAGGCTCTAAACTCCTGTAAAGATTGATAGTCTCAGAAACTCACAGGCACAGTTGTATTCAGTATAGGTAGGAATCAATTTGATGGTGGTGAGTAAGTAGTTCTGCCCTTCAGAGGTGGCTGTGACTCACTGGCAAATGGAGCAAGGTTCAGTCCTTCTGTCTCTGTGGAAGGCTGGCCCGGAATGCATGGCCTGCAGAGGGAGGCTGAGGGGGTGGGAGTGCCCCAGGCACCCTTCTTCCAGGACTCTGCCAACGGCTGGAATTCAGAATGGGTTTGGGGACCTGCACTTCCCCTGGCTGTCAAGGCTTATCTTTCTTACCCAGACGGTCTCTGTCTACAAGTCTGGCTCTTACCCAGAATCCCTGCAGCTGGTGAAAATCTATTTTCTAGAAGAGGTTTAATTAATGCCTGTAGTTTGTGAGTGAGAGAGGCGGGTAGGGTGAAAGAGAAAACTATCCAGAATGGGGGTGGGGAAGAAAGGATGGCCAGTGTTCCAGGCCCTGGGAATCCACAGGGGTAGACCCAGCCCCAGACTGGCTCCAGGGTGAGAATCTTCGCTGGTCGATAAGCGTTACTCGTAGGAGTAAAGCCACAGAAATAGGAAAAGGGACCCCCTTAATCTGAAGTTGGATGTGTTGGGCCTGCATTTCTACTTTCTAGGAGTTGGCGAGCCAGCGGGGAGTTGGACTTAGCAAAGGTGGGGGCTCAGGCCATTTTAAGTGGCTGGATGAAAGTCTAGCCTCTTCAGCGGTGTCTTAGGTGTGAGCTGGTGGAGCCACTTCACATCTGAGGTGCAGAGGGGGGTAGGGGGGCCCAGGGAAATGGCAAAGGGAGCAGCTGCAGGGACGGCAGTGCCCCTGCACTTTGGGGAGCAGAGGGGGAAAAGCTGCATTCAAGCAGCACAGTGGGCACAGGAGCGCTGCCCGGGGATGCTTCTCCAACGAGCTGGCCATTCTCACGGGTGTATGTTGGGCGTACTGAAGAAGCCACCTATGAATGCAAATGAACTGCGGAATCTGTTAGGTCCCAAAAGGCAGGAGGGCCAAAGTGGTTGACCCGGTCTGCGCTGGCCCCTCCTGGGCTGTGGTTGTGTGTGTTGGGGGTAGGGGGGACACTTGAGCCTTTGGAAAAGAACAGATATGTCTGTAAGGCAGGCAGGAGCAGCTCGGGGACCTTCAAGGGAATTAATGGTGGAAAGAGCACCCATAAAAGAACTTGGATGCACCCACAAGGGCCTTCCAAAAGTTCACGGGATACCACTCTTTGAATGCCATCTTTCCATGAGCTTTTGGAAAACTCCACATATCACCTGGGATGTCCTTCCATTCTTCCCTCCACACCCCCACCCTTTTCCCATCCCCATCCCTCTGCACCACACTCTACTTAGCCAGCCCTGGGCTGAGTACCCTGCGATGGAAGAGCCTCCAGGGAACCCACACACACAGCAGGAACTGCTGTAGGCACTAGAAAATGCTCTTTATATTTTCATAGTCAACGCCCTAATTTGTACATTCGTGCTTCTGTATTACAAGGCATCCCTCGGTCATCTGCTTGCCACCTGGTGTGCCTGGGTGTGTGACCGACTTCCTTACTCCACCAAAACCCCAAACCCATTCCTAGCAAGTCACACTCTTACTCCTCTAGAGCAGGGCAGGACTGCCCTGCAGGGTCTCGAAGGCTGTCCAGCCTGCGGAAAGCATAGTGCCGTACTTTCTCCACCACCAAGGCCACTCACAGGCTTTCTTCCTTGAGCCCTGTGCCAGCCAGTTGGCCCTTACGCAGCCACTCTATGCCCAGCAGAACGAAACACAGCCCGGGGCTCCACCATCCTCACAGTTGTGCTTATGCTTCATTAAGCCCATTGTTGCAGCCACCATGTCTGCCCAGCTCTTCTTTGGTGACTCCCCGCTTTACCAAGCACGATGTCACTTTCCAGGGACTGGTCACCTGATAGCGTCTCCAGAGCACGACGACTAAGTCTTGCCGTCCGCATTCTAATGAGCATTCTGGCTGTTCCTCCTCCAAGATAGATTTGTTTGTTCCAAAGCTTCCATCAGTAGCATAGAGACCAGAGCGATAATCTCTGTAAAGACTATGATGGAAGGCATTTCCCGTTTTTTGCTTTTTCTTGTGAATTGGGTGAAGGTTTACAGAGACTATCCTCAGTTTTACGTCCAACAACTAACACACAGTTCGTTTCATCTTATTGGTCATACTCCCTCAGTGCAACCTCTCTTGCCCCACCCCCTCTGTAGGTTCAGTCCTCCTCCTTTCCTGCCCGTCTGGACCCTGTCCCTGGCAGTACTCCCTTCTGAATTTCAGTGGTTGGCTATTCTAATGCATGTTACTGCTCAGCTCAGAGATGTGTCTGTTGTTTGGCTGGAAATCGAACCATACAGGTGAGTTCAGCTTCAGACCTGAAGCTGTCAAAGGGCCATAGTCTGACCAGGAAGCTTGACCTCTTTTCTGATTTTAAATTTTGTTCCACATGTTTCTTCTACTCTGTCTAGAATTTAATGTACCTGGTTTTGACACTTCCCTCCCTCCTCCTCTTTGTGGTCAGAGTCAACATTTTTAAAAACTTTCATTTGGGAACTATTTGCCCTACCCAGCAATTATGTGGACGAGCACTTGTCTTTCCAACTAACAACCACAGCATGCTTTCCCAAGTCAACCACCTTCTTGCATCCAACACCAGCCTTCAGAGATTCTGCCTGATCAGGGGTTTTTTGAGCTTTTTAATTATAAAGTAAAATGAAGCTCATGCTTGCTAATTTTATAACCTGCTAATATAGGAGAGTCTAAAGTGAGAATAAAACACTTCCTGGGCTCATTACCTCTTTTTGCTTCTAAAATAGGAATAGGCAGTTGGAATGCAGGGAGAGCGAAGTGGTGAAAGTAAGAGCACAAGTGTTTGGAAGCACCGAAGTCATGTGGGGGGTGGGGATGCCATATTCCTATGGAAATAAACTATTAAGTGTTAAACACCAGCACTAAAACAGGGAGATAAGTACATATGGAATTCCATAGATGTATTTGCAAATATAGAACTTTGTAGAAGTATAGATTGCTTAAGTATTGAAATTTTGATCCAAGTTACTTTATTGGGAAACATCTATTGTAAAGGACCCTGGGCAGTGCAAAAGGTGAAACACTGGATGACTAACCAGGGAATTGGCAGTTCTCAGCTATTCGACACGCTCCCTAGGACAGGCCTGGCGGTCGGTTTGCATAAAGACTGGTTTCCATGAAGAAAACCAGAGGCATCTCGGTTCTTCGGTGTGGCAGGTGGAGTCACCATGAATCCAAATGGGCTCAGCAAAGGGTTTGGCTTAGCTTTGTTGATTGCTATGCTCATATCCGAGGTTTATGCAGTGCCCTGGGTACATAGACACGGGTGATGATGGCCATGATCTTCTGTCCTTCCGTCAGGTCTTGGATCCACTTAGAGCTGGGCAAGCAATGCCTCAGAGCCGCTCACAGGCTTCCCACTGTCCGCATGGCCACCAACAGTCAACAGTACATCTCTCTGGGGCAGAGCACTATGATGTAAACCTAAGTATTCCTGCTACCGTTGCTTCATCACCAAAGGTGGGTACATCCATATTTGAAGATTGTAGCGAATGCCCTGCATCTGAGTAAAAGTGGGCTTGAGTTTCCTTTAAAGCGTCTGGTGTATCAAACAAAAACATAACACAGTGTCACGTAGCACCACCAGGAGCCTCCTGGCAGGGTTGGCGAACCTCAGGGCAGGTTTGCCGATCTGCACACTGGTGTGGATACAGCACCCTGTGGGGTCAAGAGCACAGACTGGGAAGCCAGGCTGCCTTTGAATCTCAGATATGCCGTTACTACCTTGTGGCAGTGCACAAGTAACTTAACCTCTCTCTGCCTCAGTGTGAGCATTCAGAAAATCCATGAGGCCCTTGGTGGTGCAAATGGTTAACATGTTTGGCTGCTCACTGAAAGGTGAGAGGTTTGAAGCCACACAGGGCCTCAGAAGAAAGGCCTGGTGATCTCCCCCAAACTTCATCATTGAAAACTGTATGGAGCTGTGTTAGGGTACTTTAGAGAAACAAATCCACAGAAACTCATGTATAAGACAGAGTTTTATATAAAGGTTAAGTGCACATCAAGAAAATATCCCAACCCAGTGCTGCCCAAACCCTCAAATCCAACATTAACCCGTATGTCCAACACCATTCCACAAAATCCTCCTCTATCTCACAAAACACTATGATGCCGACTGCAGGAGGAAAGCTGAGTCAGTGAATGTGTAAGTATCTCAGCGCTGGTAGAGGTCTTCCACATGGCTGCTCCAGCACCCAGGGCTGCATCAGGGTAGGTCCATGTGGCTTCTCCTCAGAAATGTCTTGCAGGAAGTCAGCCTTGCAAGCTGAAGCAGGGAACTGCTAAGGCAGCTGCACCCTGGTGCGA